TTGATGCCAGATACCCCAGTTTCTCCCTCTATACCACTGTCGCCTTTCAAGCAGCTACCCCAGTGCTAGAGCTCAGAGGGAATGAGTCTGAGTAGGTGAATCCATGCGTGGGTTCTTTAAGAGGAACTTTTTGGGGCTCTAGCAGTTTCTTCCACCAACTCAATTCCCACTGGATTTTACAACCAAAAGTTGTGGGGACTTATCCTCCTGGCACCAGAATCTCAGGCTGGGAGTCCTGGTGTGGGACTGAGACTTCCCGGCTCCTGAGATCCTCCTTCTGAATTTCTGTCTGCCACATGTGGGTGTGGCACTAGCCCGTTCTGCATCTGTGCCCCTCCTGCCAGTCTGGATGGATGTGGTTTCTTTAATTCTCTAGGTGTCAGACTTTCATTCCACTGGATTTGTGCTTCATCTGAGTGATGGTTTTCTCTATTTTACTTGTAATTTTGATGTGGTTGTGTGAAGAGGCAAGCCGTCTTCTGGTATGTATATTTTATGACTTCCGTATAATCCTTTTATCCATTTTGAGTTTATTCTTGTCTGTGGTGTAAGTTAGTAATCTAGTTTCATTTCTTTTGCTTATACCTATCTCATTTTCCTAGAACCATTTATTGAAGAGGCTTCTTTACCCCACTGTATGCTCCTGCTTCCTTTGTCAAATACCAAGTGACCATCTAGGAATGCATTGATTTCTGGGCTCCCTGTTCTGTTCCATTGATCCATAAGCCTGTTTTTTATGCCAGTGCCATGCTGTTTTTATTACAGTGACCTTGTAGTATAATTTGATATCAGGTTTTTGATCCCTCAACTTTGTTCTTTCTCAGCATTGCTGAGGCTATTCAGGATCTTTTTGGTTCCATATATATTTTTGGAATATTTTTTCTAGATCTGTGAAACATGCCATTGGTATTTTAGTAGGAACTGCTCTGAATCTGTTGATTGCTTTGGGTAGTATCTTCCAATTCACGAACATAGTATATGGTTCCACTTATTTGTATCTTCCTCAATTTATTTCCTTGATGTTCTACAGTTTTCCAAGTTTATCTTGTATTCTTGATACCAACCTCTTCTGATGTATGTTTTAATCTTGCTTATCTGCATCTTTGTGATTCTGGTTTTGGTATTTACTGGCTGTGTAATTTGGGGACATTGTCCGACTTCCACAGTTATTTTGTTACTGTGAAGTGCCAATGAAAGATTGTATGAGCTCTGTGATTTTTGGGTTCTTCTCTCCATTTTTTAATTTCCCTCAGCCATTTTCTCAAATATAAAGTGAGAATACACTATATTTTAGGCTTATTGTGAAAAACCAATGGAAAAGCACATGAAAGTGCTTCGGAAAGTAAAGAATATCTTTACATGTAAGGCCTTTTTGTTTTTCTCTTGTCATTATGAATCATCCATGGGGGCTGGCTTTTGTGAAGCACCCCACATCTCTGCAGACTGATCAGACCCTGAGGGGTGGGTGGGTGTCACGAAATAGCACTTCTCTCTTTTTTTATTCTACACGCTCTTAGTGGGGGAAAGAGGTGCATAAACAAGGCATGCTTACATTGAATCCCATGTTCTTGGAGTGCGTTGTGTGGGATGGAGGTGGAGAAGAGTGGTATCAGGGGAATCTCGTCTCTTTACCTCTCACAGTGCTTGCCCCAAGGACTGACATAGTAGAATCCACCCCTTAATGGAACCAAATGTCTACAAGGTTAGAATTAGCTTGCCTTTGGTTACTATTCTGGTCTACTTCTCAGTTAGAATGCAGGTTTCAGAGGCAGCTGTTCTGTTCTACCATAGTGGGGAGGTATGAGGGTACACTCTCCTGTTCCCATTCCCTTTTGACTGATGATGGTCCTCTGCAAACTAATAATTAACGAAAGCATGATACCACTGTAGGGACATTCATGCTTCAATACCACCTTAGACCTAGACAACCCTGTGCCACTGCCCCATACCCCATGCTTTAGGGGGCTCTCCTTTGGCCATACCCATCTCCTGGACCACTCTCCAGGTACTGAGGACCCGAGAATTACCAGACAAAATGTCCTGAACCTACTTCCAGGACCTGCAGCGTCCCTTTCTGAGAGCATCCTCCCAAAGGTGGATCAAGCCATTAGACCCCACCCCTGACACCTGCTTTCCTAAGTCAGGGTGAATAAGGGCAACTACTTGAGAGGGGAGCTCTTCTAGCTTGAATGTCTGTGTATAAGGCTTCGTGAGGCCCAGGAGGCCTGGGGTGTGGGAGGAGGAGGAAGGTGTGTTGGGGGCCCAGGACTGCAGCCCAGTCCTGCGTCTCTCAGGGGCAGGTCTGCCCAGAGGAACCTCTCCCTTCGGACCAACTGCTTATTTTATGGTTTCTTAAAAAAAAAAAAAAAAGAGGCCATAGAGAAAGGGTTTTTTTCACCGCCCATTTACAGTCTGAGTATAGCCGCCTCAATGTAGACCCTAGCTGATCTTTGAGAATAATTCTCAAAGAGGGTGGGGTGGGGAGCTGGAATGGTGGCTTTCCTGAAGGGTCAGTGTCTGCCTCCCCTCTGTCTCTCCCCTGGACAGGCAGTGCTGCCAATGCTTTGTTACAAGGAGAAAGGATTCTGCTGACGCACGGTGTTTTTATGAAAGAAGGCTAAGGGTTCCCTTATCTCTCCACACAAGGCACATCTGCCTGCACACAGGCTGTCTGCTTCTTAGGGATTCCTTTGTCGTGCTGTTTCCTTTCTGAGTGTTTTAAGGCAGTTTCATGCATTCCTTTCTGTTCTCTAGAGCCAGGGGGAAAGTCATAATATATCGGGGCTCTTGCTGAAAAGCTTAACATGGGCGCTGGCAGCTGGGATGTGGGGGAAGAGAGCTTTCCAGGGACGAGTGGCCTGCGTGTTTAGCCAGCGAGAAGCAGGTCGGAAGGGTGGTATCACCAGACGGGCTTTATTGTCTGGTCATCTCCTAAGAGCAGAACTGTATCTGTCAACTTAACCCTTTTTTAGGTACATCGGGTCTCACCCACACTCTGGTGTGTGACCTCTAGGTTTAAATTGGTGAAGAAATGTGGAGAGTTGTACATCACCATTTTTAAAATATAGATTATTAAAATCGAGAAACATAGCTAAAGTGGGACTATCAATCAAGCTGTGTTTGGGTATCAGTCTTAGTCCTGCTACATCAGACATTTTCTGTATAGGCTTGGGAGAGAAAGGAGGTTAAAGGGTAAAAAAAGATTTAGCCTTTAGTCTATTTTAATCTGTATGACAGGATCTTACTGAGTACGTATTTCCTGTTTTGGAAGAATTGGAGTTGGTTCCGAGTTCTTCAGGTTTGGGAAAGGTCACTGATTCTGTGGACAGTTCCAAGTAACAAGATATTTGTAGTGTTTGTTTATATGCTACTTCTGTTTTGCCCCCGCCACCACTAAAAATGGTAAGCATTTTACTTCTTCATGCTTCCTTTTTGCCGCTGGTAAAGTGCGGGTGATGATTCTACCCTATCCCACAGAGAAGTTGAGATTAGAAAATAAAACTAATTCATGTGGTTTTAGATTGTGCTACACACATTTTATTATTAGGACATTCATGTCTTAAGATTGTATGTTCATTCATTCCTTTGTTCAGCAGACTTTTTAAAAAACTTACTTGGTGCTTGGCACAGATACAGTGATGATAGATGTAGTCTTACCTTTAAGGAACTTAAAACATTGTGAGGAAGATAGGCAATAATAAAAAAATCTCATACATCTATTCTATTGTGTTTACCATGTGCCAGGTCCTGTTCTAAGGATATATTCTCTCATTTGACATATATTAGCTCATTTAATACTACTACAACCTTATGAAATAGATATTGTGTTTAGCTACATATTACAAAGAAATCAAGGCACAGAGAGGCTAAGTGCCTTGCCTAAGGTCACACAGGTAGTGGTAGAACTGGAACTTGATTCCAGACCTTGTCGCTCTAGAGTGTGTGTTCTAAATCTGTGCTGAGCAATACAGTAGTCAGTAGCCATACCTGGCTTGGGAGCACTCAAAATATGCCTAGCCACATTGAATTGGGCTGTAAGTGTAAATTTCAAAGACCTAGTATGAAAAAAGTACACAGAATACCTCATGTTGAAATTGCATATTTGGGATATACTGTGTTAAGTTGAATATATTAAACCTAATTTCACCTTATTTTTGTGGATACTAGAGAACTTAGAATTACATATGTGGCTTGCATTTGTGGGCTACATTGCATTTTTTATTTTATGTTTTTTACATTGCATTTTTATTGGACTGTGCTACTCTAAGTCATTACAATGCAATAACAACAGTAAACTAGTGGGTGACATTTATTGAGCACTTACTATGTGTCGCATAGTGTGCTAATAACTTTACAAACACTATTTTACTTAAGCCTCCAAGTAACTGTTTATTATCTCCATTTTATGGAAGGAGGGGAAAGTTTTGAGAAAGTCAGTAATTTGCCTGAGGTCAGTCAACTAGTTGATGACAGACCCCAAATTTGAAACCATTTATGTCTGACTTAAAAACCTGTACTCAACCAGCACACCGTGATACCATTTCCAATTATTATATCTCGGGGCATTTTGTGTGTGTGTTTATTCTGTGAAAAATATTTAACATTGCATACTTCTGCATTTGGTGTGTAGAAGGTCAAAATAAAAGTTGCCAGGTCATAAAACAGGCACCCCAGAAGGAAGTCTCTTCTGCAGGGTCTTGGCCCTCGGTGAACACCAGCCGGCCCAGTTGGGCACTGACGTGAAGCAGTCAGCCAGCCAGTACCAACTGTCTCTGATTTTCATTCCAGTCGTTCTCGCAGGTTGCTGGGCACTTCATGTCTCGGCCCTCTTTATCCATAGAGAAGATGAAGGGCGACACAGCTCTCCCTGGTCATTTAGTTTTCTCGGCTGAGAAAAAGAAAAAATTGCTTTCTGTTTCATTGTCCCATGAACATGCTGTTTGTGATTGAGAGACCAACAAAATGCTGTCTTAACGACTCCTGACTTTTCTTTTTTCTAGAGCAAAGACTCTGGCGGATTGAAGGCGGCGATGATAGAGTTGGTGGAAAGGTTGAAGTTCAAGAGCTCAGACCCTAAAGTAAGTATTGTTTTGGAATTTATTGGATATTGGTAACCCCATGTACAGGTATCCCCCACTTTCTGAGAGTTCACTTTACTCCATTTTGCTTTTATGAAAGACCTGTTTTTTTTTTTAAGATTTTGTTTATTTATTTTTAGCCAGAAGGGAAGGGAAGGAGAAAGAGGGGGAGAAAAATATCTATTTGTGGTTGCCTCTCACACGCCCCCTGCTGGGGACCTGGCCCACAACCCAGGCATGTGCCCAGACTGGGAATTGAACGGGCAAACCTTTGCTTCTTATGCTCAATCCACTAAGCCACACCAGCTAGCCAGGGCTACTACCTGTTTTCACTGACTGAAAGAAATCCAAGGAGAATTTTCGTTTTTATGAAGAAAAGTGAAAAGAGCCTTCAACCTTCGTTTTGCAATGACCTGTTACAGAGGCAGCACAAGCCCAAACAGCAAGTGGCCCTGCCAAGCTCCTTCCTGAAGAACTACACTCAGCATCTCAATACCAAGCCACTGTAGCTTTGAACGGTGTCTGTGAGCCTCTGTGTTTTATCTCCATTTATTTTGTGCAAGATGTGTCATAAGTATCAGAAAAGCCTGAGAGAGTTCCAAAGAGTGTTACACTTAGCGTAAAACTGGCAATTAAGCATCTTTGGTATGATTTGTAGGTAATTTTGGGGTATGGGAACACTCAAAAAATTTTCCATATAAATTAATGGTAATTGCTTCTTTACTTTATGCCATTTCAGCTTACAAAAGGTTTCATAGGGACAGGAAAACCTGTATTTCATTCTCCTTGAGCTAAGTTCGAGGGATGTTAACAATCATTATCAGCATACTGCATCAAGATCTAATTAAGCCTGCTCATCAAAAGCAGTGTTCTAATATGGGTAGAGATAAATCATCTATTTTTCCCTTTCTGTATTTTATGACTTCTAACAAATAATCATTGTTTTCCCTGAACTGCAGACAGGTGCATTTTTAATCTTCCGTTATCAGGCCTTTGAGACTATTGTCCTCTGTGCCCGTAAAACTCATCCAAAGGCATCTGAGATACTGATCAGCTTAATGCTGGAAACTGGAACAGGATCCAGACTCATCCAGTTGGTGTTCAGCATTAGCATTTTGTCTCCCCCCAACTTACAGAAGCCAGCTGCCCCTGCTAATGCTTTTGTCCTCAAGACCTAGAGTCTGGTCTGGGAAATGCTTTAAGCTTCCCAGCTTTCTTTGCAAAATGTTGGGGGCTATAGGATTCATATTCTGGGAGATGCCATACCAGGGTGGGGGTGGACTGGGAACTGAATACGCTGGAGGGCTTATGACTAACACAGCCTCCCTTCTACCCAGATACTTACTGTGGCACTTACCTGGCAGTGGTGCCAGCTGGCTCTGCCCGAGAACCAGAGCTGCTCACAAGGAAATTGAGAGAGGAGCGTGATTCTTTGGTTTTTGGTATCTCCTTTCTTTCATTTGAAATTCTTTATAGGTGGGATAAGACTAGCACTTCTTGAATACATACTAAGAGCCAGGCACTGTGGTAGGAGCCTTATATAGTTGGAAAAGTAATTGTGGTAAATATATATAGTGTAGTTGACCTTTCTAACAATTCATAAGTGTTAAAAAGGCATTGGCATTAAGTACACTCAAATTGTTTTCTAACTATGACTACCATCTGTCTCCAAAACTTTTTTATCTCGAACTGAAATTTTGTACCCCTTAAACACTAACTCCTTATTGCACCTCTTGCATATGTGTGATTACTTTAGCAACTCCATAAAGTAGCTTATTATTCCCCTATTATTGATAAAGACACTGAGGCTCAGAGAGGTGGGGTTATTTGCCCCAGATCCAGTGTAATTTAGAGCTGGGATTCAAACTCTGACACCAGTGCCCATGCTCTATCTTTTATATCACGTTGCAGACTGAGCCCTGGGTTTTGTCTGTTTTCTACCCTGTGATCACATTGTACCTCTTTTCTAATGGGAAGTACTAAATGAGGCAAGGCCGTGGAAGACGGCAGGCTTTTCAAAAGTTGGCTGCGGTTACCGGTCACAAAATAATGTTCTCTTCATACGGCAGTAAAAGTATTGGGACATTAGTAGTTTTCTTGTCTTCAGGTATAGTTAGGGTTCTAGAGGTGGAGAGTATCTTGATAGATAAACAATTGGGGTAACCTTTATCACTTTTATTTAGCTCTATGTAAAAAGATCCCTGGTATAAGTAGTTTTTGTTGTTTTTTTTTAGTGAAGATGAATCAATTAATTATTAAAGATCTCCGAAAGCTTTTCTTCTGAGTTTCTCTGGTTTCTGGGACAGCAGCTGTAGTGAGGGAGACAACCGCGTGTTTTGTTTCTGCCACATCCACATGTTTTTAGGCAGGAAGCTCGAGGGGATGTGTACAGATTACACCGAGTGGCTTCTCTGCACGATGATAAATACAGGTAAAGCGCTTTGGGATCTTTTATGAATGCCTGTAGTACTTCTGGTGGGAAACTTGCCAGAGGTGAAAGAATTGAGTGGTCCTGTGAGAGCAACCCACGGAAGCCTCAGGATTTTCCCATGATGCACCATAAGCTAAAGGATATTTGTTAGGGCCTGGCTTGATCTTGGATATGCGTATACACAGTCACCTCTCTTATTTTTATCTTGCCCTGCATTATTTTCCACCAACCAATTTTATTTCCAAGCCTCTTTCTGGTCTGTCATATGCATATGCTGTATACACTTGGAGCCGGCTTGAAGAAGGACATTGTAATTACAGAACGACTGCCAGATCACAAAGTGAGAGGTGGTGAAAAACAGGACACTTAAATACTTCATTTCTGCAACAAAGAAAATGTTTCCCTCAATAAATTGGTGTCTTCCAGGAAAGTGTTTAGTCTGTTCTGTTTTCCCTTGGAACCTCACCATCCCCTCTTTTTTTCTTTTTTTAAGTTGGCCTATTTAAGAAAGGCAGAATCTCTCAAACTTTGTGACTCGTTATTCCTGGTACAGTAGCTTCACGTAGACCCCCGATCGAGTCATGGAGCACTGAGCACTGTCTCTGCCTCGCTTCTCCACACTTCCCTGAAGCATCGCAGAGCTTGATTTGTCCAAGCACTGAAGTCTCCTGGGGACTGAGTTCATTTCTACCTGCAGATTTTTCCAGGGAGGAGTGGTAGATGCCTAGATTAACCATTTTTTAAATTTAAAAAATAATACATGCTTATAGATTAAAAAAACAGATACCCATAAAGGAAAAGTAAAATGAATTTCCCCCACGTTGACCACTTTAACAGTTTTTCCTGTAACCTACACATTTCCACGTGGAAATACACTTCTAAGGGTTTTTACAAAAATTACACTATACCTATAGTTCTATTACACAGAATACCTTAGACATTCTTCTTTGTCAATAATACAGACTTAATTAGATGCCTTATTTTGTCCAAAATATGTACCACATACCCTCTTTTCCTTCAGACTAGTAGTTCTTAAACTAGTGTGCATGAAATCACGAGGAAGACTGATTAAAAGATAATATTAGGCCACCCCCCCCCACTGGGTTACAAATTCAGTGGGCCTGGGATGGACTAGAGGCTGTACTAGACCTTGGCTGTGTTCCTTCTGTCTGGTTTTGATTTTTTTCATTCTTTTGAGCAAATAGCCATAAGACCCCTCATGAATAAGTCCAAGTGATTTCAACTTTGGAAGAAAGTGTAATACATAAAAATCTAGGCTTAGAAAGCAAATACATTGAACCAGGGTAGCAAAGGAGTAGGGAGGGGGAAGAGAGGCGAACTGAGTAGTCCCAGCTCAGGCTGCCTGAGATGGCAGGATTCCTTTGAACAGTCATGTCCGATAGAGAAATAGCAAAGCTAGAAAGAGGGAAAGGGGTCCTGATCGGGGTTTAAGAGGACGATCAAGGTCCGTGCCATGGTCCGAGAGTGGGCTGAGTTATAAAACCAGAGGAGCAGGAGATGTCAAATTCCAGACACTAGGGGTGAACCTGAGGACAGGAATCAGCCAGTGATGGTTGGTAAGTAAGGCACAGGGCCAGAGGAAGTTGTGTGCGTGCATGTTGCCATGGTGAGCCCTGCTTCAAAGGGAGCATACATCCAGAAATCCGGAACTTTGTATACAGTGGAAAGAGATTGTTTTTAATAACAGACAATGTCTATTTTGTGTAATTGGAAGTGGTTTTTTCAATTATAAGACATGCTAATGTACTTGGCATGATCCAGTTTGCAAACATCTTTTTCGGTCAAACTTCCCAGAAACATTTATTGCACAAAATAGGATTTTTGTCGGTAGATTCCTTATACTTATTATGATACACTTTCAGGAAATTAAAAGGTGTAATTAGTCAGGGTGTGTGTGTATATGTCTATCTGTCTGCCTATACTTGGATTTTTAAGAAATTTAAAGTGTTCTGAGTTCTTTATAGCTTGCCTTTGCAGTGACTAGGCAGTTACCTTTCACAGTTTACCCAGAGGAAACTGAAGCTTGGAAAATGCGTGATTCTGTCCCCTTCCCCCTCCCTGCCCAGTCTCTCAGAAAGCACCGAACCGAAAGCACGGTACGCGAACTCATGTAAACTAACCTCTTACTATGAAGTTAATAACAAGCACTTTCTCTATTATACACTGGTTGTTTTTCATTTCATCTCAGATGTGCCGTTTGTTGTGTCCTATAGCTGGCACGTTTGAAACAAACAGTGAAAAACACAGTCGTGTGTCTTGTGTGCCAGAGTAATCTTATAAGAAGTTACCTTTTTATTTATTTATTTATTTTTTTATTTTTTATTTTTAAATATTTTCTTTATTTATTTTTCGAGAGAGGGGAAGGAAAGGAGAAAGAGTGGGAGAGAAACATCAATGTGTGGTTGCCTCTCATGTGTCCCCTGCTGGGAACTGGCCTGCAACCCAGGCATGTGCCCCGACTGGGAATCGAACTGCGATACTCTGGTTCACAGGCCCGCGCTCAATCCACTGAGCTACGCCAGCCAGGGAGAAGTTACCTTTTTAAAAA